AGCTCCACGTGTTTCACCAGTGCATCACTATAATGGCCTTAGTGACATACAACAGCAGCCGAGACGATGCAAAGCCCAAATTACCATTCACAATTGAGTCATCAGCTGTATTATATATTTCCCTGAGAAACGTACATTCATTACAAAAAAATCTCAGTTCAGCACCAGTGGCACTTTGATTAAACCTTGCTGTTAAATCCTTTTTGTTAAAAGAATAAAACCTGGTTTCATTTGTGAGGGGTGGGAAAATTGCAGACAAATCAAATACATAATCCATAGAAAAACAGATCCATCCTGTCTTAAATCACACTGGCACTTTTATAAAATGCTTGCCAGGCTGAAGGGAAAATTAATCTCCCTAGAAGCCCTTTTATTTTTTAAACAGGTAAACATTGCATTTTAATAACTACGTCTCTTCTCTGACCTATGGGACTTGAACAGCTATAGGCAATGACTAGCTAGCCTCCTGCCTGCCTCTCCAAGCAATGTCTTGGAGTTTGTAACTATAACCTGATACACCTTGAGATGAGGCTTTTCTTCTAGGCTGCTGTTCTAAAAGCAATCTCTTACTAAACCATTACTCCTCTGCTCTGTTAGGCTGTTATAGCTGAATTACGGTTCCCAACACAGCTGGTCTGACACTTGTATTGTCTGCCCCTTCTCGGTCAGCTCCAGATCACTTTCCCACTTATGTGCTAGAATCATTAGAAGCAAAGGGACAACTCTGCGCTTGCTTGCCCTGGCTGCAAAGTGTGCTCACAGGTTGCCCAGTGCTTAAATCAGGCTGTGCATGGCTGCCAGTCTAAGTAGCACTCCTCTCATCTGCAGGCACATCTGCTAACCAGATAGGTGAAGATCTGTGGCCAAAGGAAAGGATGGGGGCTGAGTGCTGCAGGAGTATGCCCGCGGTCGAGGGGCAGTGGAAGGTGACTGTGTGCAGTGCTTTCATACACACCTTCACAGCAGGCTTCTGTGGGCAGAAGTCTTCAACAGAGAGAGTTTATCTCTTTTCCCTTTACAGCAGCTGTCCCCTAGTCTGTTGTGGCAAATCAGCATTTTGCAGAAAAATGGATTTGGGTTAAAATTTCTACCCTAAGCAGTTCAGTCACCGGCAAAGCATCTGTGGTACATGCTGGTGTCCTCTCTCCAGGCCAGGTTCAAGGGTCTATGTTGTCCTCTCTCATACTCCTTTCAGTCTTCTCTTTAGGAGTGTAGATAAAAGACCAAGGAAGAACTCCAATGCTGTTAAGTATCGTATTCTGAAATAGTGAAGTGTAGCTCCAAACTCAGGGCTGGTATAATCACCATGGAGGGACAGGCTGTCCTGCAGGCTTCAGAAGTGAAGGTCCTTCCTCATCAGGCCTTCCCAAGCTCCATCAGGGCTCACCTCTGTGGTCTCTTGGTATGGCAGTGAACGTTTACTCACACAGGCAATCTCAGTGCTATGGGAATTGGGGTTTCAAGCTAATCTGATGAACCCAGCAGTTAGCTGTGTGAAGCCCTGAGTCTCACCCTGCTGTATGAGGGCTGGATTCCCATTACAGGGAAAGGGCTTGGTTTCCATCATGGCATGAAAACACTCCTGGTTTAATGAAAAGTCCCAAAACATCTATGATGACTAAAATACACAGCTCCTGCTGAGCAAATACTGAGGGGTCTGCAGTTTTGTGACAGACTGAGGGAGAAGTGGCAAAACACGTGGTGGGATCCTTACCCTGCCAGCAGGACACTTACAACAGACTCAGAGGACTCAATTTAAAGGGTAAAGAGATGTTCAGTTATGTAAATCTGGTTGATTAGTAAATGTGGAATTAAGTGCTGTCAACCTTCACTTACTTTTCTGGCACCGAGCTGCATTTTTATGTATGCTTGGCTTACAGATAAAAGAGCTATGGAGTTTAAAAGAGGTTTGGCTCAGTTTTGCAAGCTGGAGACACGCTCGGAAGCAGCAAGGACAATGCAGCCTGTAGAAAGATGTGTTTATCATAACATCTACCACTCCTGAAGTCAAGTCACAGTCACTAACACCTAAACATCTTGCTGCCCTAAAAAGCATTGCTCACAAGAAAGAAAAAAGCAACTGAGGCTTTTGTGCTTTCTCCAAACTCACCTTCATCTGGTCTAGCAATTACTTGTACCAGCACTAGAAAGGTTTACAGAAAATAAAGCATAAATACAGTTGCATAGCAATTGGATCTTTTTTTCTGCAAGTGCACTGAAGTCATCTCAAAACATTAATTAAGCCTCACGGCTTTTCAGAAAGGCAGACAGTCCCAAGCCTGATTTACGAGTCGGTCAGCTGAAGTTGGTACAGGACAAAGGCAGAAAGGAGACCCTGGCTCTGCTTCTATCTTGCTCTGACAGCACTGCCTAATGTATCAAAGGCATTTAACATGCCCACACGCAGTGTCATCTCCCACTCCAATGCAGAACAAGAGCACAGTACCTGTATGACTGTTTTAAAGCACTACCTATATAGGAGCTGAGCCAGAAAATATAATCTGTTTTAGCACAGACTTAACTACAAAACTAGCTGCTCATTATACGGTTATGGAACCGATATCTATCAGAGAGGAGATGCAAACCACAAACAACACTGTGATTAGATGACTCTAAACTGTATTTAAAAACTATCAGATACCAGATACTAAAATAAAAGGAAAAAGATCACTGTTTGGCTATGGTTAAAAGATGCAGTCATGATTTCAATGCTTTAAGCTAACTGCCAGCAAACAAAAAAGCCTGCAGTATCAGCAATACCCAACATTTTGCCATCAGTGTTAGGTTTACTACAAAACCTATGCATACAGTATTAGAAATAAATCTTAATGATTAAAAAAGATCTAAGCCTTTGCTGCATACCTTCAGTTTTACAGTGATGAATGAATGAGATCCAATAGGAAATTAATGATCCTTCCAGTCTCAAAAAAAAAAACAAAAACAAACACAGTAGCTGCAGTGTAGGCTTCCATCTCACACTGCATTTCTATTTTGGCTTCTCTCCTCTAGGCTACTTTGAGAATTCTCATCAGTAGGAATATGTCCATCCCTGGCTATTATATTTCCCTCTGAAACCTCTGAATTCCAAATTAGGCAGAGCCAGAAGTAAAAACTTCAGTGCAAAGTCCAGACACTGTGGAACATATCCCCATGTGGCTCCACTGCTGCACCTCCACCCTGCTGCTCCAGTGAGGGCAACACCTGAGCAGAAGTTGCCAAGGCAAAGACCCAACTCATTTTCACTAGTTACACATACAACACGCCTATACACCACCTACTAGAAAAATATTTCCTTCTGAACACTGATGCTGATACTTGTAGACCCCTGCGCAAAGTATGTCTTGCAAGCTGAAAATCAGTGTCTTTCCTACTAAGATGAAAAAGGTCTTCATTGGAAAGATGTCAACCAAATCATGTGCACCATGCTAAATGCAGGGGAACCACAGACCTAGAGAGATGCTGAGCCATCTTATGTCTATATGTGCTGCAAACACTACAGGGTATCGCTCTCAAGCTTCTGCTGGAGATTAAGGGGCAGGTTTTCAGCCTCTGTCAAGTGATGCTGCTCTATAAAGATGCATTAGAAAGATACCTATTTATGCCAGCAATGTGTCTGACCTGCTGTAATGCCACCTTCTCTGCAAAATAAGGAAAAAGGCAGTAAAGAAGAAATAAAGGAAGTTGGACAGACTATCGGATGGACAAAAAAAAATAAAAATGTTGCTCCACAGAACCAAAAAGTGATAAAGTCTCAACTTCTAGCCCTTCCATGGCAACTCTGAGCAGAGTGGAAAACAATGGTGGAGGAGAAGGGAAGGAGAGTTTAAATTTGGGTGCTTCAGATCCCCCCCTTTAGAACATACAAAAAGCACACTACAGCTCCCGTAAGGTTTCTATCTGCACACATGAAGCCAAAAGTCACAGTAACGAGGCCAACGTTCTTACTCCTGGACTGATCCTGCTTTCAGTGACATCAGTGCAAACAAGTGTGACTCCAGGGAAGGTACTCAAAGGACCACAGTCAAGCAAACATATTCTGAGATCTCTAAAATTGGATTTCAACCTACCACATTGTAAAATAATCAGTAGGAGCATCTGAATGCTTGAAGTATTTGGCATTCAGAGTATGTGAGTGCAGAGTGAGCACAACTTCCCCGAGTGGCACAATGAAACACCACATTCTGTCTGCTCCCCTTAATCACTTTTCTTGAGCCCTCTTTCTGGGCGCATAAATCACACTTATTTTGCAAATTCACAGACTGCTGAATCAATGTAAGATAGACAATTCTCCACAACAAGCTTTTTGCTTGCCAAAAGGCTTGATTTACATCTCGGTGGAGTCTGCCCACAGGTGCTACACAGTTGTGCTCACTTTTCCATAGGTTAACTTACAGCTTTCCCCATATTCCACCCTCTCTTCCATTCAGGGTAGAAATATTCACATCCATTACAGAAGTAGACTAGTGAGACTAACACTTTATATTATAAATACAAAATCTCAATTCTGCAATGTATAAAATCTTTAATATGGAGTTTTCCCAACCTAAAGCCATGAGATCTGTATACCAACAAAAGGAATAGTCTTTATAATATAATATATGTTTTGTCATTTGGATTAACCTGGGGTTTGTTTTACTGATCCAGCTTCAGAGGACGGAAGTGGAAGAAGTTCAAACATTCCACAGATTCTTCTCCCATCAACGTTTAAAGCAACTGTGTCTCTTACGAGCTTCTGTACTTTTTAATTAAAAGAAACAACTCCAAAGAATCATTGCTGCCACAAATATTGTGCAAGTATATTTGGGTTTGAGCATAAACACTTATTATTTGTTGGTATACCGCCACATCCATCATTTTCCAAACTCTTAAATAGTCATAAATAAGAAAATCTGTACTACTCTTTGGTACATTTCTGTTTAAACCACAGGTGAACTTTTAAGTTGTAAAAATAAAAAATTGCACTTTTATCTTCTAAAGAGTCTTGCTAGTCCAACAGATTTTCAGCTGAAGGATTCTTTATTATACTCAAACCTTGTCCCATAAGAGTTGCTGCTGTTGCTCAGTTTATGAAGTATCTTAGAGATTTTGTTTGGTCCGCAACAGAAAACTCCAATGGTCTTCCTGTTAAAAAAAAAAAAAAAAAAGAGAGAAAAGAAATGTTATGGCAATTCAAATAAACCTTAATTTCTAACAATAGAAAGAATTGGATTCTGGCCTCACTGTATTATACATGAGACAACTATGCATAGATTTCAAGGTGAGAACAGCTCGCTAGATCATGTAGTTAGTGTAACTGAAGCCACCAGATCTCTTCCAAATATTTCCACAAACTCCATCACTTATTTGACTAAGACAACTCTTAGAAAAAAGTACCTCATCTTAGTCTCAAGAAACCAAACGATGAAAAATTACTACTTCCCACTCTGATTTTTTTCCATAATTTATCACTTTTTTGGTTAAAATTGTGTCTCACTGTAATGACTTCATTAGTGGAACTTGTGATTTACACCAGCAGGAGATCTAGTCACTAACAGTGATTAATTACATTAATGAAAACAGAGCACTACTAACCCATGATTATTTCTGGCAGCAGTAGAATAATTTTACCGCTGTAGTTTCACATTAGTATGCAATCTTTCCTTCAGTAGCTATAGCAGAAAGTCTTATGAAAAGCCAAATACAGTATAAGATCCTTGTTCATCACCCACAGCTATCAGCTCAGCTTCATTAGTTAACATGACTTTTACACACCACTCCACCAACAACAGCTCTTTATTCTCTGGTCACCTCAAACACAGGCTGTACATCAGACTCCCAGCCATACAGCACCTATGAGCTCAGAACAGCAGCTAGCATCAGAACAGGGCCCAGCCACAACAGTGGGAATGAACTCTTATGACATGCATGATATTCAACATCTCCCTTTTTTTTTTTTTTTTCAAAGATGAGGAGAAGGGAAAGAAATGAGCAGGGAAAGGCGATGTGTCTCTGTCTCTTCTATATCATGAAAAAAAGAAAAAAAACCAACTTCATCTTCTTGCTGAAATTGTGCTGCTACAGAGAAAGATCTCAGAGATTCACTGGGATGGAGAGAAAGCCTGCAAGAGGGAACAGGGCTCTAACTAATTTGAGCTACAGCACTCACCAAGAGGCTGGAGACTTGAGTTCTGGTCCCTGCCTCCATGATTGTTTCAGTATTTTATCCAGAGACTATTTAATAAAAACATTTTAGCAGATGCAGAATAATCAAAGGCACAGGTCAAAACTGCCTGCGTGTGTGTCTGGCAGGGTAAGGGAGAGAACACATTTAAGAAGAAATCTTTGATGCATATTGTCAAGTGTATGTGCCTGCTATTAGGCAGCAGCTCAAACAGGATGGCAGTCCATGCTGTGCCAGCACACAGCAGCACTGCCATGGTACAACCGAGGAGCTAAACATCAAAAAGCATCACAAAGTTATGCAACAGGGTCCTTGTGCAGGCACCTCACAATGCTGCCTTCAGCTGCCGCCCATGACATCATCTCTCCTATCAACCCATGGCAAATATTCATAACTTGTACTTTGCTCACCCTTACGTGTATCTGTTAAGCTTCCCTGTCCTGGTAGTGGTCCTTTCGATGGCAAGGGGTATTGTACTGGTGGTTGGATTTAAAGAAATAATAAGAGCCCTATTGCTCGTTGATCTCCATTAAGATTCTTCAGCACTTGCAGACTCTAAACCCTCTTTGTGTGCAGTGGAGAAAAAGGGTGCATGAGCTACCAGCAAGAATCTGTCTCCTACTGTGTATTTAATTGAGAGAATCAATGTTGTTGAGTTTTTTTGTTAGCCTAATTAGCACAGGCAACTGATAAATAAACCTCAAATCTGTCTCTCTCCCTTTTGTTACATATATATAGGCCACAAAGCACAGACATGTCTAAGCAGCACGTACTACTTATGTATACAAATCTCAGCAACATCTTTTCAAGGTACACAATTTTTGGCTAATAAACAGAATCACAGAAAAGCTAAATGATTTGCCTCAGGTCACGCAGGAGACCTGTAGCTAAGAAGGTCTCCTGAAACCCAGCTGAGCCACTGCCCCACATCGTGAGCCAGAGGCCCTCAAACTGCCTTCCCAGGATACCCACCAGCAGCATTTACTCCAGACATCCCTCCACATACCACTTGCCTCCCACAGCTCACAACCCATGCCCTCCTACACCTACATCCCTCACTTCCCCGCCTGCAGATCTTCCTCCTGGTCTCACTTGGCTCCTGCCAGGCTGCTGTGACACAGGCAGGAAAGAGGCTGAAAGCAGCTGCTACATGGAGCAGCACGCTACTCCCCTGAGCTGATGGGCTTTAATTGTGCATCACTTGTTTGGGTCAATGCTTCATTTTGTTTATCAGAAGAAAACAGACTGCTAGACAGTGCTATGGCTGAAAATCTTCACAAGTATCATTAATGCTTACAATCAGGGAAACTATGTTATAGGCCATTCTTTTTAATAATTATAAACATCAATACAGGATTTTACTTATTCAGGGCACTAAGCAAATCTCAGTGTTCCCGTGGGATGAGTAGGTCGGCATGTATTATTACATTCATTTGATTAACAGCAGGAGGTGAGGGAGAGGTGAAATATTTTGCTACCTAGAGAGGAGAGAGTCAGGACTTGAAATGTTCCAGTTTTAAATCCCACATTCATTCCTGGAGAGAAGTTTCATGGTGCTCCATGCCTTTCTCTCCTACAGATATTCATGCTTTTTTCTAGGTCAGCCTCCAGCTGCAAAAAAAAGCATGTATCCATTTGACCTAAGTAAAACTGAGGGAGCGTAGCAGCCAGGACATGGTGTAAGCTTTTCATCCAGGACACAACTGGACAGGAAAAAGGCTGCTGCTTCATCCTCAAAAAGAAAGCACAAAAAACAAGACCAGAGATTTATTACATAAACTTTTCCAATGCACCTTGTTGGGACTGCAGGTGTCATATAAAATATCAACAGCAGATGGCACAAGTCTGCTCCTCTTAGTTCAGAAGGAAGACTAGGGAACCTAGAGCTGTCCCACATCACACTGAAGGTTTGGCAGAGCTCAGACACTTACAAAAGCACTTTGCTTACTTGGGACCTAAGCAGCAACAACAGCAAGAATTCACAAACCACAAACCAAACAGATGGCTAAACTGATGAGAGGTTTGCCAGCTGCATGTTTATTTATGTGCTGCTTTTACTAAAATCACAAGATAAAAAGTGGAAAATATCTTGGCTGCTCATAAACAAGCCCAAGGAGATGACTGCAAATACATGTGGAATCCTGAACACTGGCACCAGATATTAGAAACAATCTCGTTGTCCTGTTTCTTTTTTTTTTTTTTTTTTTTTTGTCTCCATATTGCAATAAGGTCATTAAGGTGGAAAGGTACCAAGAAATTAGAACTGAAATGAAGTTAGTTAGTAGGAGGACCAGGACACCGGACTACAGAGAAAAATTGAAGCTCCCACATCATCCAAAGCAACAGGGAGAATATTTGCTTATCTAAAACAGGTAAGTTTCTGTGGGACAGCTGAGTTGCAGGCTGCTCTATGGTCTATCGTGTTGCATGTAACTACACCTGTAGATAGAGACCTGTAGCTATAAACCCTGACAAAGGTTGACAGAGGGTAAGGAAGGCTACGACTTAGCAAGCTGCCAGGTAATCAAGAGTCAGAACATTATTTACGTACTAAAACACACCTTACTTGGAAATAGTGGTACAATTTAAAGATCTGATGTGAAAATGCAGAGGAAATGGCACTTGAAGTCTAATTAGGAGTAATGTGATGGAAAGCACAAAAGAAAAAGCAAATGTGACTCCCATTAATACCTTCATCTGTAGTATGTGCACTTCAGCCTTGCAAGGAAGTGGCAGAAACCTCATTATTTTCATCTTTTAAAACTTCTCTCATACATTTAAACCAAAAAGACACTGGAATGGAGCATAAAAGGTCAACAGTCCTCTATGCAGAGGACTTTGAGGGACTTTGAGTCAGACAGTCAACTTGCTTCTCTGAGCTCTCTATTTCCCTTTTTTCCCCCCCATGGTTCTTTACTGCAAAACCTTATGAGTGATATTCAATTCCATAGTGCAAGATGGGATGTCCCTAGGGAGGTACTAGGGATGTCCTTCTGTAACAGCCTTTGGGGCATCCTGTCCAGTGACCCTGCCCACAACATCCTCTAAGACCTGAATCTACGACACACATTGTCAGCAGCTTACACTGCCAATAGTGATGCATACTGGCACTCAGTATTACTCAAGAGTCAGGGCTCAGTGTCCCCTAGACATATCCACCCTCAAAAGAGAGGAGTCAATAAGCCACAGATAAGCCACAAAATGTTCACTTTGGAAGTGCAACAGAGGACAAAAAGTCTTGAGGGAAAGTTCTGTGGGTGAGCATGAGAACACCTCTCAACCTGGTGCACCCAGACTGCCATCAACAGCTACTCAGGGTGGTTTGCTCCCACTGCACTGACTTTGCCAGAAGTGGATTAGGGAAGATTCACATAATCCCTTATACCAGTTCAGCTTTTGAGGAAGAAAACTGTCAGCAAAGGAGTAAAATGCTCGACCAACACAGCATTATCTGGTCAAAGACATTCCATAGTCTAATTGCATGTCTTCTCTGTTTTACAACTGTCTTATTTCAGACCATAATATGTTTGCATAGCACAGTAAAAAGACATTGCCAGGTCTTCAAGAATAAAAAAGTTCCAGGACTCTCCAAAGACAATATATCTTCTAAGTAAAACCAATACAGGGCTGTTAGATTTGTCCTTGTGCATTTTGTTTGTAAACCAGCAATATAAATCAGGAAAATTATAGTAGAAGTCAACAATTTTTAAAAATGCAACTTTATATATGAAACCAGCATATGTTCCAAGCAAGATATTGCCACAGACAAAAACATATGCAATCTCTGTGCAGTGAGATGGAAATCTATCACTTTTACTTTCTGGGCCACTGAACATCCTAGCTGCATGAGAAGATGAACTGTTCTGAGTATAGAAAAAAATATGTTTCAATTTGTACAGGCTATGTCTCACAGCAAAATATTAGCTAATTTCAACATGAGTAGCCTAAACTTTACACTCTAAGACAAACCCCCAGCATATTTTCATACACAGCTGGAAACAGATGATATCCCCAGCCTTCAAACTGTGGCATCCTTCAAGCCAACTGGTACTTACCGCCTGTTACACTTTGCTATTTCATCAAAAAGGAGCTTCCATCGGGGCCGTCCAATCAAAAGCCTTGAGTTTAAAGCTTGGTATTTTTCACCAATTATTTTCTGCAAGAAACAAAAAATTCCAATCTGCCTGATTTGCAAATTGCCTGATATCACCCAGGGCTCCCATTTCTGACTTACTTTCCCATTGGCTGACTTACCATATTACTGAGGTGTGAAACCTGAGCACAAGCATCAGCCAGTTGTGATTTAAACTGCAGCCATTTCATGCACCAACACACTGCTTGCTGCCTTTTCAATGGCTCTCCTAGGTGTTCGTTATACATTGTTCCTCATGCAGCTGCTCATTAATCTCCCCATTACTTTTAAACCAATTTATTTAAGCCATAAACCAATAACCACACTCCTATTATTCATTCCCTCATTGGCTTTTAATGCTAAGCTGGAAGAAAGACTGCTGATGCAAAAATCATATTTCTGTTTGAAGGCTTTTTTTTTAAACTTTGTACAAGTAACTATTAAGATGACTACGTCTTGAAAAAGTAACAAGGGTAATCTTACATTTCTCCCTGAGAGTAGTTTGCCAGCTGTTTTGAGGTGCTGTAGCAGCAGAAAACAGCCAAAACTGCTCCCTGGGTGGAACCCAACCCATTCCAGCAATGCTAACTCACCAGCATTTTGATAAGGTCAAATGCCCTTCCATTGCAGGGCCCTACCCTTCCTTGGTTTTCTGCCCTGATGCGACAGAAAGGCAGAGAGAAGTTACACCTTATCTAGGTTCCCACATTCACTCCACTGCTGAACAACCTGGAACATTGCTCATACCAACGCAAACACAGTCTTGGCTAACTCATCCTCTCTTGGCCTTTTCTATTCAAGAGGCATTTGCTGAGGGATGGGCTTGGCTCCCTGTTGCCACACTGGCATGCTACTGAGCAAAGGGGGCATTGAAGCAAAATTATTTGGTCGCTGTCAGCACTTGGGACTAACACCAGTGAACACATAAGCTTGAGGAGACTTGAGTTTAACTCCTCTGTAAGAAATCATGAGCAGCATTATGGTTCATGCTACTTTTGTTCAATAGCCACAAAAGCAACTTTAAAGGAAGACTTAAAACAAAGTTGACTTTCAATAAATTCAGTAGCTGCTTGATACACAATATTAGAAAACTTGCTTTGAGTTCTCTGTTGTTACAGTCTTGCTGTGTCATTGTAATGCAATCCTGCTTCAGGATTTAATTTTAACCCAATAATTACATAACACATTTAGCAATGAGGCATTTCCAGGCACCCCATTCCAATCAATACATGTCATCCAAGCATTAAATTTGTGGAACACTGTTCATAATTACCATAGCTATCACATCATTTAGACTCTTGGATAGTGTTCCTACCAGAGCTGTGAATGTTATGCTATCTTCCCCTGACACCAGACAGATCAGAACTTTTCAGGCAGAGTTTCTCACTGTATTTCATGTTTTGTAGTAATTGTCAGACTCTGGGCCTGCTGCAGTCAGTGGAAAGCTTCCAGGCACAGCAGTGTAAAGAATCAGGTCTAGGCTCTATGTTAAATAATGTAAAATGAAGATCATAAGTGTAAATAGTTATAGGAGATGTCAAGAGTTGGGGAATTAGCCCAGCTTTGGGGTTGGCAATACATGACAATCAACTGTTCCATATAATTTTTCCAGTCTCGTACATCAAGACATTTGTAACTTCTGTCTATATTTGAAGCAAAGAAATCCAAAGCTTTTAGAAGCAGATAGTTTCTCTCAAAATATTTGTTTGAAAACAGTATTTGAGCTTGCAAGTTCCTAGAACTATTCTGTTTTGACTCTTAGCCCAGAAATGATGCTGATTTCTCAACAGACATGGCCAACTGTCTGGTTCATGGCCTGGCCTGGAAGGACCTCTTTCCTAGAAAAGGAAGATATGGATTCCTGCCCACACCTAATCAAGTTAAGGCTAGTAGGCTAGATTCTCTTAATGCCATGGGGATGGACTTGCTCTCTTGCCCTTGTAATGGATCAGTCACTTGAGTCTATGGCCTCATTTCCTGTTTTTACCATCTGCAGTAATTCCCTTCTGCCTCTGACTGACAATTTGCATTGTCTACTACCCCAAGGTCTATTTCAGTTTACAAATAACATTTAGCCACATACCTGTATTCCATCTGTTTGACTGAGGTACAGCTGGATATTTATATAGTCTGGCCGATTCTCCTGCCAAAGCTGGAAGGATGATAAAAACAGCTAGTGAAATAATATCCCTTCTTTTAATGTAAGCATAGAGTTATTTCTGCCTACTATGCTGAAGGACATGAGTTTCAGCATCAGTGAAGTAAGCTTTTCAATGAAGAAGATATCCCTTTGTGAGCTCCAAAATATTGCACACCATGCTGTGCACAAATTATTTTAGGAAGCCACATTGCTCTTAAAACCCACTTGAAACTATAGGACCCCCTCCCTTCTCCATCTGTCTACTAGCCAAATGGCTAAAGGCCACTCAGACTCCCCAACCTACATGTTCTTCTTCCATCTCATAAATTTCCCAGGGACGTGTCCAGACTACTGGTACATAGCAACACTCTGCAACTAAAAACTGGTGACAGATACTCAACCTGTTAGGTGCAGTTCCGAGAATAAATGCAGTCTGGGTTGGGCAGCCCAAGCAGAAGCACTGCTGGAGACTGCTTGTTCTGAGCAAGGCTGCTTTTCTCTGTAACGTGCCAGCTGCAAGGTGTGGACATACCTTGAATTTATTATATTGTCAGTGTCCCTCAGAACAACACCCATTACCTTGTTATGCAACATGCAGAGCAGATCTGCAAACCAGCGGAAAGATTCGATGTCTCTGCACACCCAAATGAAGTAGAGTCTTCTGAGCTTGTAGCATTTCCAGCCGTCACTTGAAAATAAGATGTTTGGATAATTAAAAATTATCATTTAAAAAGGAAATGTTAATTCAGATGCTTTATATTCATTAGTGGAAATGTGAGTTTCCATTAGAAGCTAACTGCTAAGCTGTTCTTCATCCTGTGATACATCAGACACTGAAATGACCAATACAGCCTGTAAGGATCATCCTGAGAATATTAAATCTCTAGCACAGACCTAACATCCTTCACAGATACTGTTTCCACACTAGGAAGTTGTCAGCTGTAGAGATGATTTGGGCAGCAAAGATGGATTCATGCATCGTCATCAAACTTTTACTTCACAGCAGACATTCTAAGTTGAAGGGTATTATGTCAATTCTTTATTAGGTTTATAAAGCGACCTATAAGAGAAAAATATTGACTAATGCAATAATGTCAGGAATTAATTCTGCCTTCATACGTGAAAGGCTCTGGTTGATTATAATTAATGCTGTAGCAAAATCACAATGACCAAATCAAATCAGGGCTCCATTGTGCTAGGGAACTGCATGATATATTACAAAATACTGGTGGGTAAAGTGCAGTCTCGGGCAGATTCTGGCATTGCATTTAGAAAAACAGGACTCTCATGGCAGATTTCTAATTCAAATAAAACACAAATATAGCACAAAGGAAGGTTTGGAATTAACTGGGAAAGAAAACAGAAGTGAAAAAATCCTGATTAATGAATGAGTTCAAATAAAGCACAAATATCCAGGAAGCATCTTTTTACTTAGCCAATATTATTTTCTGTTTTTCTCATCACTGAAACAGTCAGTGCACAGATTGTTTCCTCCTTTTCCTCCTAAAATATTTTTCAGATAGAGAAGGCCGTAGACTGTCAATCTCAAATGCTAGTCCTAGGACTAGCTAGTCCAACCCCAGTTGAAAAGTATCATGACACATCTCACCATAGCCACTGTGCATTATATTTCAAACTCCAGTGTTCCTGGCATATCCAGCAAGGGTAGTATTAACAGATCTCCATAAGTGATGTCTCTAAGCACCGTCCTAACTCGCCATATCCCTAGTCTCTACTGTAAACCTGTGGAGCAAGAATAGAGACATTCTCAGCAGCATGTAGAGGCTGAGAACTCACCTGTCTTGTAAAATCCCCACAGAGAGAAAAAAAATGCCTTAAGGCTGGGGAGTACTGTGTCTTTCAAGCCCTAATTTCAGGGTTTTTTTACTTTTAAACTTCTGATTTTGGTTGGGTTAGAGTCAATTTTCTTCCTAGTACCTGGTACAGGGCTGTGTTTTTGATTTGGTATGAGAATAATGTTAACAAATGGATGTTGTTTCTAAGAAGTGCTTATCCTAAGTTAAGGATTTTTCAGCTTCCCATGCTCTACAAGCAGGTGCACAAGAAGCTGGGTGGGAATATGGCCATTAGAGCTGACCCAAATTAGTCAAAGCTCCACAATGTAGAATGTCATGCTCAGTATATTCCATACCATAGAGCATCATGCTGAGTATATGAAATGCTGGGGTCTGAACCCCAAGCCCTGAATTAAGGTTGACATATGGGTGATTCCCACAGCCCTTCATACAGAGGTGGTGAGTTTGCCTTAGAGCTTCCCCCCAGGGTGCGGCCGGCCCTGCAGGGAGAGCCAGAAGGGAAATGAGCCCCAGGGGTCCCGCACTGAGTTGACAAAGGTCAGGTGTCTGCTTGGGGATAAAAGCTGGGACCACTTGCAGGGAGTCAGGAGTGTCTGTCTGTGGAGTGCACTCCCCAGAGCTTCCTGGTTCAGGGCAGACTTCCTGACTCTCCCTGGAGCTGGGCCCTGGTCTGTTTAGACCTTTGCGAACACGGGTGGATTGGGTGAGAGTCGCCATGTGGGCACCTTTTTCTTATACATTTAACTTGCTGGTTTGACTGTTTCCCATGCCAACTATGGGAAACCTTGGCTCACTGTTCATACGACCTGTTGTGGGCCGAGTCATGTCTTTTGTGGGATCGTTGGGGATGGTGTCAATTATGTACCAGCTGATTGATCTGTTTGTACCCCCAGCGATCAGTCACGCAATGTCCTTCTTGCTTACAATACAGTCTGTGTATTGGTTTATCTTCCTGCTGGCTGTATCATATTTGTTGGGCCTGGTCATTGGCAGAACAGTATATAACTGGGGGCAGCTGGCCAGGATGAGTGGATCACTGCTTAGGGACTGGCTGAGCACTGGTCAGTGGGTAGTAAGCAATAGAACTGTACATCTCTTGTCTTTTTGGTTTTTATTTCATGCTCTTTTTGTTATCTTCCTTTTCATTAAAATTATCATTATTACTACTACTATTATTATTTGCACATTTTACTTTTTATTTCAACTATCAAACTGTTCTTACTTCAACCCTTGCGTTTTACTTTTTTTTTCCAGTTCTCCCCCCCATCCCATAGCAGCGAGGTGGGAGGGGGAGGAGACAGGAAGGAGTGAGCGGGTGCCTGAATGGTACTTAGATGCCAGTTGGAGTTAAACCACAAGGGAGCTCTTGAACTGCAAAGCGGGATATACTCCATCTTCTTCTGACTGTCAATAGTAAGACGCCCTTAGGAAGGGTCACAATCTGGTCAGATGTGACAAGACAACTCTGAGCAGTAGCAAGGAAAGTGTCTTTCACCATAAAAAAGGATAAAAGAAGAGAAGAATGCAAGGCTTTTTTTAATTTAAATGATGTAGTTCAGTAACAAAGCACCAGTCTTGGTGATGAAGCTGGAGGAGAAAGAGATTGGACTGCAAGACTTCATGAAACAAGTCAAGCTTAGATTTAAAATAACGCCTCAAACATATATGCTTGGGTGCACCTCCAGCAGGATATGTTATGCAATAAAGGCACAACCCTCCATTACAACCAAATCCACATGCATCTAACACTTCTTGTCTTACTATGTTCTTGTGTTTCCTTGTCACCACTGCCCATGGTAACAGACACTATTTCCATACTCTTCTGCATGAAAGCCTCTAGCTTTCCTTAATATAAGTTATATTTTCTTAAAAATAGGGCATAGTGTTCAACAGTTAAGTGGAAGAAAGGGCGGGAGCAGGAATAGTATACAAATAACAGGAATGAGACAAGTGGGGCTGGTAACTTTCAGAGACACACCCCATAAGAGGTCAAATATTTGGTCTGAATAGAATGTAAAAGGCTTTAAATTAAAAAAAAAAAAAAAAAAGATACAAACAATGAATAAAAAAGGTGTACCTAAAATTTAAACTTTTCAAATAGAGTTAAACATCTGAATACTATCTGAATCCAAGTTGATCCCTTTCCTTTAAAACCTTAAGCTTAGACATTTCCAGAAGTCAAACAGTCCAGGAGAGCTGGTCCTACATGTCGAGCAGAAAGACTGTCACAGCCTCCTGATTCTCAAAAACTCACCACCATAGTCCATCGCCACCTCTAAGCTGGGACTAGTGGAACAAGTCTAGCTGATGGGATGTGACATCATTAGGCTAGGCTGGTGGCAGGATATAAAAGCTCATGACACTGTCCCAGTTGAGGTGCATTGCTGACAAAACTCATTGGGTTGCAAAGCCTGTACGAGATGATTTGTGCTCTTCAGGGGACATTCCAGTCCTCCACCTCTCTCCAAGGAATCATTCACTTATGCTATGCCAATGGAACTTTTAAATACACTGAAAGTCTTTCTGACATGCACTAATATGGAAAACAGGGGGGAAGTGGCTTTAAAAGGCTTAAGCTCACTTACAGCAGTGTGTTGAGTACTGATGCAAATGGTGTAACTCCGATACCTCCAGCCACACACAGGCTGACCTCGTAGTTCAGGGACTCCTCAAAAGGACTCCCAAAAGGTCCATCCACATACAGTCTGCAGGGAAAAAAAAAAAAAGATCACTTTTAGAGAAAGCTACTAAAATCAGGGATACAAAAAGAAAAGTGAGCTGGAATTAAAACCCTGCAAAGAATTTGTTTAAATTTTATATTAGTTTTGGGATGCAGAATGTGAAAATCTTTTTCCCAGAAAGCTTTATGTGGAGAGAAATAAATGTGCAGGTAGTATGAAAAACTGTTCCATAAAATCTCTTGGCACATTCCATGATTACACAAGGTATTTTTTAATTAAATAAGTGGACATAACTAAATTATAACTGCCCTATGTATCTGGTATCAGAGGACAAAGAAAGTGCTGCACTGAAAACTATAACAACTTAATGGGTCATATGTAGGAAGAAAAAGGGTTTGGGTAGGCCTGCCTGGGAGGTTCATCTCTTGAACATCAGAAACAGCTGAGATGGACAAAAGGTTAAAACAAAGTCTCTTTTTCTTGGCTTCTCATAATGGGCCTGCAGGGAGTAAATAAGGGGTGACACATATCCATACTGCAATGTACAAGAGGAACAAATTAACATCTGTCTGCTCCTTCATTTCACATCCATAGCCTTGGGAACAGGATCTATCCCAATGATGCAGGATGTCTGAAGAGAGAGTTGTAGCTCTTTCATCTCATTATTGTCAGAGTTTTGTGCACCTGTCTTTAAAGATTGCTTAGGAGACCAAGTCCCATTTCCAAACCATTCTGAATATTTCAGATACTGCTGGAAAGTCAGCTGACTATAATTCAAAAATGGGCTTTTAGGCACCTTCACAAATTTGATCTCCTTATACTGCTGAAAGTCTGACCAAGGTCATCTATTTATAAGTTTGTAAAATCTCTAATAAGATTCACATACCCCATATTCTACCTATGGAATACCTACTGCAAATCTTACTTCAGTAGTAGATTCACCTTTAGAAACTATTATAAAAAGAATTTGAACAGTACATTTAATCAAGGTTCATTCTGTGTATAAGTGGCTCATTGAATCACCTCATTTTAGGTAAATGTAAATTGTGGTGGGACCAGCACTGTGTTCAGCAGCTCAGTGATGACGTATGTGCTCACAGGAAGGCTGACTGAGACCAACTTTTAGCCTGAGTTCACAAAAAGACTCCAGCATATATATTTTTTTTATACACACACATACTGGTACTGTTATGCAAGCAAGCCTTACATACTCTACATCCAACAAAAGGGCACAAGGTTTTCCTTTATAACATCAGCCAGAGAATTAAAGGCAGAGGAGATGTCTCTTATCCAGACAAAATCTCCCAACCCTCATCTGATTCTTTCCAATTGAGGGCTGGATCTTTGCCGTAACTTAAGATCTCAGTCTGATCTAATTTCTTTCAGTTTTGTGGTCTGACCCTTGGCATTTTACTAGTCAAGACAACATCTCATCTGGGTGTCTTTGGCCAATATGATCCTTCTAGGAAAGTTATTCCAGACTTCTGATACTGCTGATATCTTGATGCTTCATATGTTAGGCTCCTTCTTCTATGATGTCTTATCTAAACACAGATAAGCACCTACTTTCTGATGGATCTTGAAGCAAACAGGTTGATCCTTAACTATGCCCTGTCTTACAAAAACCTTTCTTGGCTCTTGGTGTTCTACTTGGAAAGAAAGGAAGAAGACACTGGGCAAGTCACAGCCATCATCAGAAGGCATCAGAAGTGCTGGCAGTAGATGTTTTTAAGTAATCAAAGTTCATCACTGATATTCATAACTAAGCAATCTGAAACCTAAATATGCTTACTCTTATTTCTGCCTTTATATTCTGAGGTCACTACAGTATTCAAGAAATGTTCTCTTGGACAATCTCAAAGCTTTTCAATGTCAGGTATGTTAGCTCCAGCATAAGGAATGCTAGAAAAACAAATTAATTCCTTACTTTTGCACAATGGAGCCAAGAAAAACTGAACTGGACATGTGCATACAATATAACCAGAACTTCCAGTATCTTCTCATTAAATGTTTCCTGTTACATAAAATTTTATACTCCATTTGCTTAACAAGGGCTAATTTTCCACTTATGAAATAATACCTCTGTTGGTACAGAGTGCAGCTGCAACTGCTTTAAGACATCTTCTAAATGTTGCACTGCCATTTGACTGAGGAGATAAAGGATCATTTCTTATTTAAATAAAGAGGAGGGGAAATGAAGTGAAACAGATCTTTACTATGAAATGAGTCTGGTCCACAGGACATTTTGAGCGAAGTCCACAAATGTGGGTCTCAGATGTGTATCTCAACAGAGATCTAATTTCAGGATATCACTGTAGGGTAAAAAGAAAAACAAACAAACAAACAAACAAACAAAAAAAAAAACCACAAACCCTTACTGGATAACAAAGACCAGCAATTGAAGTGCACTGTCATTCCTGGTATACCTCTTACACATTGGTTGCCCTAATCAGATTCTGCCTAGCTGGTGAAATCTGGAGAATCCTAAAGGTATGAAGGGCATCAGAAGAGGCCTGAGGGAAATTCCTTGCATTTTGCACAAGCAACACTAGCTTTCCGCTGGATATACAGACTTAAAGCCAACATTCTGAGGGAAAAACATGATCAAACAAAACAAAAGCAAACTAGCAAAGGAAATTCTTTTTCCAGGAAGTAATACAATGGATGTGACAATGGTCATATACTGTAGTGGTGGGACTTTGCAGAACTGCACTTAAGCCTCCTTGAGGACTTTCTGAAGTATGTATACATGTCTGATCTCAGAAGGGATGAAGCAATGCCTGTAATGTCTGAGTGCCACTGGACAGCACTGACATGATCAGGAGTTGAGACACACAAAACTACATCTGGTCACCACAAACCAGTCAAGCATGGCCCATAATTCCATGCCAGAAATTTAAGAAACAACCTTCAATTAATATGTATTTTAGTCAGACTGCTCCAGTTTGTGGCCCATTAGCTCCATCTGGTCCGCAAAACATTTCTATCTGCCCACTGTGTCTTCCACTGAGGGAGTGAGGAGCAGTTGTTTGGACAGCAAAGGAGTCAGAGACGCCAAGAGCCTCCTGCTGGGCCTGCATGTGGTCCAGCACTGAACAGCCAGAAGACACCGTTTCCAAGTGTGAGAAAGAGAAATAGGGAAAAAGCTGGAGAAATATTGCTACTGCATTAACCCATTCCACAAGACTGCCTGAAAAGATTAATTCCAAGTATAATCTTCTAAGGAAGATTTTGTTATATGTCACAAAAATGCACTATTTAGTCCCATTTTTAGGGGGAAATTCTATACCTTAAGGAAATATGGCTTTGATGCCTTGATGGAAATGGTCATTTAGGAATTGATCCTTCTTTTATACAAGTCAGTGGAATAAAGAAACTTCCTGATGAGGTATCCAACAGTGCAGTGATGAAGTTAATTAACATGAAGGAAGAGAATGGAGTTTTACTCAAACTTTTGAAATTTCCCCTTCAGGCAAATTTACTCAAATAACGAGTTGTTCTTTTTTTTTTTTTTACTCATTTCCAGTCTTAGGATTGCTCTCAATTATTCTGGCACCATTTCTTAGCTCACAAACAGAAAAAAAAAAAAAAAGCTCCTCAAAACAGAATATATCACAGAAATAGCAGAGCACATTATTAAAAAGCATCTTACAGATACCTGGCAAACATTTTTTTCTATTTAAATCATACTTACATTCTATAGTACAGCAGTACAGAAATATCCCAGCAAGCACCAAGACAGCTTGTTCCAGCTCTGGGCAGTGCAGCTGCACTAACATGGGGCTATCCCTAAACCAAGGATCACTGTCTTAAAGAACACAGGAAGCTGTACTGCTTTTGAGACCCAAGTTATTATCTTCCATAAGGAACTGCATAGTGACGTGTGGAGACACCTCCTCACATCTCTGTGAGGTCAGACCTGGACCTCAGTGCCATGCTTTACTTCAGGGTGTAGGTGCCCTTAGAAAAGTTTAATGCTTAGATTATCACTACACAACTGTAAATGCTGATATTCTTTTTTTTCCCCAGGCTCTTTGGGAGCTACTGTGAGACATTATCTGGGATATCAGTGGAATAACAGATGGGTAGTGGAGTTAATCCAAGAGCTGTTAGGAAATTTTAATTACAGAAGTATTAGCACTTGCAAGTTGAACAAAATGCTTGGATACAAAGTACTGCATAGAGCACAGTACGTGAAGCCCTAGTCTGACTGAAGTTTGTAGCAAAACTCTCATCAGTATCAACAGAATAAGGATTTCACCTGGCAGTATGAGATTTTGTACCCTTGGAGTAGTGTTCAGCTTGTTACTAAGATGCAGGTGCAGGTATCCTTGCGTGTGCATATTGGGTAAGTTCTCAGGAGAGTCAAAAGAGATGCAGCCAATACAGTTAATGGGGCTGAGAGATTCCAGATGTGATTAATTGCTCTTTAAGTCTACAGACTGTACTAACTCAGTTCAACAAGACCTTAGAGATCTGTGTCCCTCTGGAACAGCACCAAAAGGCCAAGCAGAACTGAAGTGGCACCAGACACCTAGCCTGAGGCACCTGAATCCAGACCTAGATATACACTGCGAAAACTGGAGCTTTGACACATAGCTCACACACAGACATGTATGCTTAGGTGTCTTCAACTAGAGTGAATCCTTCTGCTGATTACCTATGAAAAACCCATGTCATTGACTTCAATAGGTTTTGGATAAAGTTCTCCAAAATCACAATAAAATCAATGAAAACAACCCTCCCCCCCGATTTGTTCTTTAGCTTGTTCTACCAACACCACAGACCAGTTTCTGCCATGATGGCTACAGCCTGAGAACTCTGAGGAACCAACTGTCTGATGGCTCAGTCTCCTTATGCTTTTCTGCTGCTGTAACTCTTATGCACCAGAGAGATGTTACCACCTCCCTCTGATAACCCATAGTACCAGCCTCCACCCCCATGTGATAAACATTCAATCAAGTGCCTTCATGTTCCTCCTACACTGCCTTTCATGCCTGGGAGGAAATCTCCATAAACATCTG